CAATTAGATATGGAGATACAAGTGGGTAGATTCGAAAGAAAATAATCAGTCTGCCATTCCATAACAGTTCTTTACAGCTAAGAATACCCTGTAATATTTAAATGCGTCATATCGGGTATATTCGATTATACAAATATGTTTCAATGTTTCTGAGCATAAATTGAAATTATAAATTCAGTAAAAGATGAATTAATAAAAGCATGTTCTGTCCATAATCTTTAAAATATTATTAACACGCAGCCAGGAATACCCTGTAACTTTGTACAAATATTTAAAATTGGGTTTATATTAATTAGATTATAAAGATTCCGACATTAATATGAATTTGTTAAGTATCAAATAATAAATTTAAATTTAGAGATTCAATCTGTCATCCCATAAAAGACGAGTACAGCCAAGAATACCCTGTATTTAAAAAAAAAAAAAAAATGTAATATGGAGTATATTGTAAAATTGTGTATTGTAAAATTTTATAAATCAATATATATTCGGTCAAACATCGTATATCCGCTATACGCAGCCAAGAAGACAAATATGTAAATGTATGGGGTTTGTATTGGAATTATTTAAATAGGTACGAGAGAGTAATCAGAGGGTATCAGTCTTAGCACTTTCAAAACTACAATGATATGGAAGTATACAGAGTATCTGATGGTCGATCCACTCTTTTCTATTTGCTGCTGATTCTAATGTCCAGCGGTGCGAAGGGCGACAGTTGTTTTTATTCGACAGGGTGGCAAGCGGGGGTTGGCTGTTTGTCTTGCTAATTAAAGTAACGTTAAAAGCAGAGCTTTTTGCATTTGAGTCTGGCAGATACTTTCTGCAAATCAAAGTTCCCAGCAGGTGGGCAAGGTGTGTCAGCGGGTTGTACGTATTCCACAATTCGCTGTGCTTTAATAATGTTAATTACTGTTTCGCCGCTGAATTTTATATCTTAGCCCCGGGCCCTAGCTAATTAGAGCAATAAATTGATGCACGCAGCATCTACTTCATTCTACTTGCTTTTTGCTGCCTTGCGACCTTTGCTGCCAATTAGCTGATGCCGGGCATTTCGTAACACACATGTTGATTACAGCCGATAGACATCGCCCCATATTATTCGGAGGGAGGCAATAGAGTGATGGCTGATTTGTTTGCACAACTAAATACATAATTCACGAGGTACGAAGCTGGTAGCTGTTGGCTCCCAGATATCAGTGTTAAGTTGGGGAAGGCGATTATGTGGAAACACTGGGGAAGACCATGCGGCAGCGTAAGTAATTGCTTGAATGCCCTGTAAGTAAGCTGCTGGGAGGGGTATGCGAGCACTCGACATGATTGGCTGGCGACCTATAAAATTTATTACTTCATCGATTAATCAATCAATTATTAACTCTATCGAGCACCTGCCTCTGCTTGCGCACATAATCAACAGATAATTTCCCCAACTAATCCCCATTTAAATCCTGATACGGAGGTAATTTCCAGGCTAACTTCATTAGGGCAGAAGCTTGCCTGACATTGAGTTCAGATTGAGTCAATTAGCTGAGTTCTGTAAAAAAAAAAAAAAAAAAAATAAATAAAATTTTCAGCAGCAAACTGAAAAATACCCAAAGGGGAGGAGGCAGCAGCTGTGCCTGCAGTGGCACTTATGTAATTGAAATTGTCATCAGCCATTAAAGTCATAAAATGTAAAACGAATGAAATGACGTTTAAAGCTGCCAGCAGCTGTCGCAGCAGCAGCAGCAGCAGCAGCTGAGGCAACATATTGAAATTGAATGAGCCACCGCGAAATCGAAGACAATTGAGCAGACAGCAAGTTGAAATGATGCGGAAGCGAAAGCAAAAGCAAATCGAACTCTCTTGTGTCGATGCACATCACGCTGCGTATACGTAATATTTTGTTTGTTGACAATCAGTCTGACATTTGTTTCCTGGCCCGTGCCAACAGTGCTTCCAGCGTAGTCCCAGTTCCAGATTTGTCTCTACAGGGTGCTTTAGGTGGAGTATGTTTTGTATCTACTTCTTACTAAAGTATTTGCCCCGTTACAGGGCATTATTCTGGTTTACAGGGTATCTCCTGCACAGCACATCTGTCACACTCTCAGTCTGGCTTCTTTGTCACGCCAACAATTGACTGACATTATTTAACAGTCGACGTGTGTGGGCGCCCATTCAGCCGGCATGTTCTTCGCAGCGCTTCTCCATTTGGATTCTATGCCAGCTGGCAGCACAGTGGGCCTTAAAGGGTTAACGTTGGAAGCCGCTGCTGCTGCTGCTGCTGCTGCTGCTGATGGTTGTGTGGCTCGATTTGAACTCTGCTGCCATGCAAATTGTGGCAGTGCTGTCAGCACTATCTGCCTCACCCATCTGTGCCTGCCTGCCAGCATGTCGGACTGCATCCAAGACGTAGCCTGGGCTTTGGCCAATGCCTCGCGCGTGGCTCGGCTTTTGGCTGCGTGTCTGCAACTCTGGCTTAACAAGTGATAAACTTGTCGCTTGTCTTCAGCTGCGTCTGCATCTGCATCTGCATCAGAGTCTGGGCCTGCGTCTGGGTCTGAGTCTGGGTCTGGGTCTGGGTCTGGGTCTGCCTATGCTTGTTGTGGGTTTAAGTCCTTGTACATTTTATTATTAGCCCCGGACGTGCAAAACGCCTCTGCACACACACCAGAGTCTGGCTAGAAGCGTTCCGCCTGGACCGCTGCAACTCTTGCAACTGTTGCAGCAATGTGGCAAATTGTTAAGTACAAATTGCATGGCTAATTTGAACGGTGCACCGTTGACAACCTGACCGCAGAGCGCATTAGACGGCCAGAGGTGTGAAATGTGCAGTGGTTGCATAAATAATTCAACCAACTACAAATGCACTGTAAACAATTTGTGTACACATCCTAACTTCAATAGAAATCGAGAATGAACTATATTGAATAAACATTTCATTTTTTGAATAACAATAAATATTAAATAAGCCAAACAGAAAACAATTTAATTAAACATTTGAGAGTTAGAAAAAAATGAAAATATTGGATTATTATATAAAAACAATTTTAATTTGAAAATACTCCTAATAATCAATGCTGTTAATACAAATAATTTCATATTTCTTCTTTTGATAATTTCTTAATTTACCAATATAGTAAATGAACATTTTGTTTTGTTAAAATATTTGATATAACCAAATTCTCTTTTTAAAATAAATTAATTTAAACTATAGAAATTTGATCAGATAAAATGAGTATAAAAATTCAAATTGTATTTCGAATTATATTAATTATATTATTATTGATATTAAAAGGAAATTATTATTTGTAAAATTTGGAAATAAATAAAAATGAAAATAAAATAAAATGCATATTGTAAACAAATTTTACGACTCTAAAATAAATAATTTTAAGCTTTAGAAACTGCAGTAAATAAAATTAACTAAAATCTGTTATAAATTAAAATTCATTCTAAATTATTTGATCCTTCAATATTGTAAAGGAACTCCTATGTTACCTACTGTCTCTCGAAGCACGAAAGCAAAAGCTAGAGACAATTTCAGAAAGTTTTTATATTTGCAGATTTATCTGCTTTTTAGCACACTTTTTGAGAGTCCTTAAATGTAAACGATAGTTAAACATTCGCTTTTATCGCTCACATATTTTTTATTATTTTGTTCCCACAAATCCGAATTTTTGTTTACTGTGCAGCCAACGCCTCCGAGCTGCTATGCTTCCTCCATAAAGTAGTCAACTTTATGGCCCCACTGTGGGTAATAACTATTTTTGACTGATGTGAGAGAACTGTTGTTAGCAAACGAGCTTGTTGCATTTGCGGCCAGCACACTTTAACGTAAGTAAACTTTTTAATTATAAACACAAATTACAAATCTGTGCTATTTCACGAATGCAGCAAGGAGAAAATTGACTTTGGCAGCAGCAGAGAAAATCGAAATGCCACATAACAAAGTCAGCAGGACTCGTTGAATGAAATAGAAGCGAAGAATCACATACAATGGAATCAATACGAAAGGGCTTATCGAACGTAGGATTGGAGGAAAAATATATTGGAAGTATTCCTTAAAACTTCTCATCAAGGTTTTGAATACTTCGAACTGTACATTCGAACTATTAGTATTTGTACAGTTGTTTTCCAGTTTTCCAAGTCTTTAACAAACTAATAGCATAAGAAGTTTTAAAGTAAGTTTTTCAAACAAATTTGTTCTTATGCAAATTCAGTTGGTTTAGCCTAATTAGTCAATTGGTCAGTCGGCCAATAATTCAGTTCATTAAGTTGCAGGCATTATTTTTTATGCATCTTGAATATTCAAAGCGTATCTCCTCACGCTACACTTTTTCCGGAGCATGCCAAGACACCCCTCGCATCCCTCGACATAAATCAAGTCGAAATTTTAGATCTTTAGAATGCAAAAACAATCTAAAGTCGTAAACATTCAAGTGTTTACCTTAAGTGCTGAAAATTGCAAAAACTATATAAAAATGCACACAGAAGAAGAGGAAGAAGAAGAAGAAAAACTAGAAGAAGAAGCAGAGTAACACTTGCCAGCTGTTGCTCGTAAAATGCATCTGGCAAACAAATCGAATTCATTCAGTTTTGTAGCTAATTATTTTGTGACCCACTTATAACATAGCACATATAACATAGTAGCTAATACTTAATCGATTAATTAGCATCCATGAATGAACCTTCGAATTCGAGTATATATCATACATAAATATATGTGTGTATGTATATGATATGCAGCAAATGCATTCAAGTGTGCTGTCACAAGATTTTAACACCTCTTGGCTCAAGTGAAAATGAAATCTGCTTAGAGTTAAGCTCTACTACTGAGCAGGGACTTATCACAGTTTGCCACAGATTTTGTACACACTGTTTACGATTTGAAAATGAGTTTATTGGTTCTATAGAATCAAAAATTGATAGATAAACATAACAAAACTTTCCTATTCATTTAGATTGTACCGTATGACGAGTGTATTGCACAGTCAGGGAAATCTCATTTGATTTGTACGTACTTTTCTCTTTTACAACTCCATTAGCATGCTGAACAACAGCTTGAAATTCATGTTGTTTTCGGGGCCTATAGCAAATGAATTTGTTGAACTGTTTGCGCTTTGCACGTTCTATAAACGATGTGGAGCGCACTCCACTTCCACTCCGCCTTCGTCTTCGACTTCGACTTCGACTTCACTCTGCACTGCACTGCAAGCTTACACTCGATCTCACTGTAGGCCCATCAAATACATTTACATATATATTTATTTTCCGCACAGATATTTTCAGTAATTTATTTTCTTTTTGTTAACTGCTAAACAACTTGTTTTTAATTTTTATAGAATTATTTTGAACACTTCTCAATACAGCGCAGCAAATAAACATTGAGAACCAAGTTTTGGCTGTCAGCTCGGTTTTAGCCAAGTTGTGAGCAAGCGATTCATGAACCGCGCGCGTCGAGACTCGTTTGTTGACTGACGAGCATGCTGCCAACCTGCTCGAAGAGCTCGAGACGGCTGGCCGAACGGGCCACACCGAACGGTTCGATTCAAAACAACAACAAAACAAGTTAACATTTGAGCGGGGGTGGCTGCCAAACAGCTTTCGTTGAAAGTAAATTCAAATCGGACCATGAATTTTTATACTACACTCGTGATGAATGCAATAAGAATTAAATTAATGATTATTACAATTTAATAATAATAGTAATTACACTTTAGAAATCTAAATAATATATAAACATTTTAAAAAATCGAACTTAAATAATAATCTTAATCAACAAGATTCTTATCAAATAACATATACACATGTAAATACAACTGAAGGTCTCTGCAGCCACAGCCACGTATTAAGCTAACCTTTAATTTTATTATTAATAAATTAGCTATTAATTAAAAATAATAAATATTCTAATGGAATAAGTATAATAGTATGTATATTTAATAAAATATTTATATAAATATAATATAAGATATAAATACATAAAAATTAAAAATTAAATAAATTAAAAGCTTGCAGTACAAAGTCATTAATTATTAATTAATTAATCACTTTATTTAAAATACTTACTTTTATTTGCAAACAGCCAATAAGTTTAATGAATAACATACATAAATGAGCATTCAGAATCGCACTGTTATCATAACAGTTGTTTGCCATGCTAACAGGAACGACTGTTAAGCCTCGAACATGTTGCATTGGTGATTGTTGAACTGCTGCCGTTGAGCTATCCAGGTAGGAAATTGTGTTCAAGAGTTCTCCGGAATTATTCAATTATAAACATAATCACATTACAGTTGTACGATATATTTAATAAAATGCACTTCCACTTTGCTTGCATTGCTGCAAAATAAAAATACAAAATTGAGAAATATCTGCCAAGCACAATTTGGATTAGTTAATGCCTGCCAGCGGGTTTTATTGCCACCGTGTGGGTGGCAGCAAGCTGTTGCTGCTGCTGCCGCTCCTGCTGCTGCTGCTGTTGCATGTGTCTCATATTAATTGCAGTGCTTCACTCGTAAAGCCGCCCACGCAACAAATAAAACAAACAGCAAAAGTTTCATCAGCTCACAGTAAAATTTTTCGAGCAATCGAATAAAGTTTTAGAAAATACAACTACGTGAAAATTTTTTCTTTGAGACGTTACAAAATTTATTAAATGAAGATAATAGATAAACCAAAAACCAACAATACAAATAGAAAACAAGTAAGAAAGCTCTAGTCGAGACTGCTCGACTACGAGATCCCCTGAACCCTTGGAGCAATAGATATTTCAATACTTTTTCGCGACTTTCAGCTTACACAAGAAACACGCACACACACACACACACACGCACGTACACACACACAGGTAAACATACACACACACGCATATAGACACACATACACACACACACGCATACAGACACAAACGCATACATACACACACATACACATACAAGCAACCACGCATAAACACGCATGGGCTGCAGTGTGCGCTTACTATGAGAACTTAATTGTTTAATAACTTTTTTTATGGACGTACGATCTTCATGAAACTTTTAGATTATGATTATAACATGAATATGCATGTACTTGCCAAAGCACAAGTCTCTAGTATTTGAAATACGCTTTTTACAAAAGTGAGGGTGAGGGGGTGAATTTAGAGGTGGGGGGTAAATTTTAACAAAAACCGAAATTGTATAAATTGCATATAAGCATACATTAAAAATTTGGAGACTCTAGCAATAAAGGTGTAGAAGATATAATTTTATAACTGGGTTTCGATAAGGTTTTTTATCGATAAAAAAAGATCGGGATGAGTTATCGATTTTTAATGATAAACTTGATATGCGCGCTGTAATTACGGACATTTAAAAAAAAATTTGAAGTCTCTAGCTCTTATATCTTCTGAAATCGACGCGTTCATACATACGGACAGACGGACAGACGGACAGACAGACGGACAGGGCCAAATCAACTCAGCTCGTCACCCTGATCAAGAATATATATACTTTGTGGGGTCTGCCACGCCTCCTTCTCCCTGTTACATACATTTCAACAAAACCATTATACCCTGATTTCCCATTGAAAATGGGTTCAGGGTATAAAAATTTGGAGACTCTAGCAATAAAGGTGTAGAAGATATAATTTTATAACTGGGTTTCGATAAGGTTTTTTATCGATAAAAAAAGATCGAGATGAGTTATCGATTTTTAATGATAAACTTGATATGCGCGCTGTAATTACGGACATTTTAAAAAAAATTTGAAGTCTCTAGCTCTTATATCTTCTGAAATCGACGCGTTCATACATACGGACAGACGGACAGACGGACAGACGGACGGACGGACAGACGGACAGACGGACAGACAGACGGACAGGGCCAAATCAACTCAGCTCGTCGCCCTGATCAAGAATATATATACTTTGTGGGGTCTGCCACGCCTCCTTCTCCCTGTTACATACATTTCAACAAAACCATTATACCCTGATTTCCCATTGAAAATGGGTTCAGGGTATAAAAATAATAAATAACAAGTAAGAAAGCTCAAGTCGAGACTACTCGACTACGAGATCCCCTGAACCCTTGGAGTAATAGCTATTTCAATAATTTTTCGCGTCTTTCAGCTTACACAAGAAACACGCACACACACACACACACACACGCACGCACGCACGCACACACAGGCATACATACACACATACATACAAACATACACACACACACACATACACAAACAATTACATACATATACACACACAAGCATAAACACGCATGGGCGGCAGTGAGCGCTTACTATGAGAACTTAATTGCTTAATAACTTTTTTGTGGACGTACGATCTTCATGAAACTTTCAGATTATGATTATGACATGGATATGCATGTAATTGCCAAAGCACAAGTCTCTAGTATTTGCAATACGCCTTTTACAAAAGTGTGGGTGAGGGGTGAATTTAAGGGTGGGGGGTAAATTTTAACAAAAACCGAAATTGTATAAATTGCATATAGGCATACATTAAAATTTTGGAGACTCTAGCAATAAAGGTGTAGAAGATATAATTTTATAACTGGTTTTCGATAAGGTTTTTTATCGATAAAAAAAGATCGGGGTGAGCTATCGATTTTTAATGATAAACTTGATATGCGCGCTGTAATTACGAACATTTTAAAAAAAATTTGAAGTCTCTAGCTCTTATATCTTCTGAAATCGACGCGTTCATACATACGGACAGACGGACAGACGGACAGACGGACGGACGGACAGACGGACAGACGGACAGACAGACGGACAGGGCCAAATCAACTCAGCTCGTCGCCCTGATCAAGAATATATATACTTTGTGGGGTCTGCCACGCCTCCTTCTGCCTGTTACATACATTTCAACAAAACCATTATACCCTGATTTCCCATTGAAAATGGGTTCAGGGTATAAAAAGTACATCTTTGGAATGTAGTAAATATATTTCTAAAAGGAAAAATATTAACGGGAATATAAGATCCTAGAACCCAACACAGTCTCTATATATCTTTGTCAGAAATAAAACTTATATGATAACAAATTTGTAACTAACTATATAAAAAAGATATAAGTTTTATTTTTTTGGGTGATTATTTTTAATAAAATATCGCTGAACAAAAATGCCGTGTTTTACATTTTTCATTATATATATTGGATTTATATGAATGTAGCATAAGTTCGAGAGAAAAGGAAGATAATAATAATTAAAATTAGGTAATTTTAAAATTATATAATTAATTATTTTTAAAATTTATAATATACATGTAAGAAAAATATTTTTAAAAAAGATTTTATTTCACTGTGAAAATATTTATATTGATTCAAGATAACAAGTAAAAATGTACATTAATTAATTTTGAATTAAAAAGACTATAAATAGATAAATCAAAATTTTGAAAATATTTACATATAGTAATAACACACCGATAAGAAATGTTATATAGAACTAGATCACATAAACTCCAGTTTTTTCGACTGCAAGTAAGCGTAGAAAGTGAAAACAATTGAATTGCTATAATTTGGTTCGAATTTATTTAATGGTATTCCCCATTTTTCGCTGTGTTTTCGACCCACTTGCCCAACAGCTACTCGGAGATGCAGTCGCAGTGGTAGTCGTAATTGTGGTTTTAGTTGTAGTTGTAGTTGGAGAACGCCTACCTGGCGAACCTCCACACACACACATACATGCAGTGAGTGTGTCCAGTTAGGCAAAGCCATAGCACACGCCTGGAACCTGGAACCTGGAACCTGAAACGGGGAACCGGGTACCGGGAACCGGGAATCGGAAACATAGAGAGCAGACTCTTTAAAGCTGCAGCAGCATTTGCATTTATTTACATTTCGAATAGTGAGGCTTAAAAGGCGCATGATTAAGCAATAAATTCACACGATCATGGGCCAGTCTAGCCTGTGGGTGTTTGTTAACGGTGCCTCCTGCCTGACTACGTCTACTATTACTATTATTATTATTATATATTATTATTTAGTATATGCTATCTACTCCTTCTCATTATGTTTGCTTTGCTTGTATTTGTATTTGCAATTGATTTCGTATACCAGCAAAAGCGGAAGCACTTCAACAGCAGTGCGACAAACGTGGCTCAAAGGAAAGTCCACATGGCAAATATGTTGGCTCACTGCACGCCTAGATTGCTGGCGACAACAGGTGTGTTCAGCGAGAAGTGCCTAGTCATGGCTGCTTAGAGCTGTCAACCACTTGGACTAAGCTGTAATCAGAAAGTTTGCAGAGAGAAAGAGGCCGCCCGTTTCCCTCTCTGTTAATTAATTTATAATCAATGAAGGTCTGGAAACCTAATCTGATGTCGACTTGTCCCCGAATGATTACAATAACGGATATGCCCATTATACATGGAATGCAAGTGATGATTTTATGGCTCGCATGTTCCAATCGGTTTGTAATTTTATATACCATAATTCGTCATTAAACTATACTATAATTTGTATATATTCACTATATATATTTGTATATATTCAATATGTTTTATATACCATATTTAAGAAATATGTATATTTCATATTCCATTTGAAACCTCTATAGATCCTCTGTACATACATACATTTATCCTTACATATTATATTTTTCATACTTCTGGGACTGTGGGGTATATACCAAGCCTAATTTTTTACATTATCCTATATATATATACAGTAGAATCTGGCTATAACGACACTCAAGGGACCCGGAAGGCGCTATAACCATATGTTAAAACAATTTTTTCTGGGGATCGTCGCTATAACCGTACAGATACTATAAGCGCAGTCGTTATACCCGGATTCTACTGTATATACATATACATTTTGGAAACTCACCCTTAATTTTGCCATAATACTCTACATATTACATATACCCTCTGTAGACTCTATGTACTTTATATTGTCATTCTGCATACTCTACATATTTCAAACTAAATAAATCTAGACACCTTCCTACATTACACCTATCTCCACTAATTGTTAAACATTTCCTTCTGCCTTTGGAAGTAGAAGTATCGATTCTCGGGACCCGGCAAATACAGATGCTCGCGGATCTGCTGCAGATTGAACGCATTCGAGTTGTAGACGAATGTGCGATCGCTGCGATTCGAGAATGTCTCGGATTGGGACACGAGGTTCTCGGGGGCACTTGTTTTCTGGACCCCGAACATGGTCCAAATATCGAAATCCTCCTGCACCTGCTCCTCACCTTGCTCCTCAGAGGCCACATTCTCACTGGACGTTTCACAGCGTCGATTTATGATGCACTCGTCACGCCTCGCCATCTCGTAGTCGATCTTCGTTAAAATGGGATGCCGCAGTCCGGCCAAAAACTTCAGCAAGCTCTCCTCCGTTTGCGTCTCATCCCCTAGGTACGTATGCTGCAGCTCGAAGTTGTTGCGCCGCACTATGATGTCCGCCTCGTACTCCTGCTCCTCGTCCATGCAGCAGGCACGACAGTCGAAGTGCGTGACCTTGTGATTCGTCTGCAAGCCGCAGATCACCGTGTGTCCCGCGTCCGAGTTGAGCTTAATGGCCGCCATGTCCAGGCTGCGCAGCGGACTGTGCGCGCGCAGCAGCGTGCTGATGATCGGTGCCAGCCGGACGGCAACGGTATCGATGCCATTTATGTTCAGCTCCTGCACGTGCCTGGTGCCGATGATGTCGTTGATGAGCGAGGAGAAGCCCATTTCATTGATCGGATTGTGGGCCAGGCCCAGATACTCCAAGGGAGCGCCATCGGGATTCTGAATAGCATGGTACTTGAGTGCCTGGCCGATAGAGACTATGACAGTGCGCTCCAGCCTGTTGTACTCCAGCTCAAGCGCCTTGAGCATGTGCGTCCGTTCCAGCAGCATTTCGATGGCCACTTTACTTTGATCGGTGAGCTGATCGTAGCCAAAGTCCACTACCTCCAGCGCGTCCAACTGTTTTAGGACTCGCGCCAGTATCAACAGCTTAATGTGATCCATGCGACTGTTCCTCAGCCGAAACACTTTCAGCTGGGACAACTGCTGCAGCCCCTTGCCCAGGTGGACCATGTCGTCGTAGGAGAAGTTCATGTGCCGCTTGTGGTAGTTGCGCCCCATCTCGGGGCCGAGGAACTCGATGGTCAGGGAGACGAGGTGATCGAAGTAGCGCACGAAGCTGAGGTCAATGTGATGGCAATGCTTGGCTGGATAGTCGTAACGCTTGTAGCGTCGCAGCAGCTTCTCAATGTTGCGTCCGTCTGGCTTTTTGTCCTCACCGTCGGGCGGCTCTGGCGGCACATCCATGTTGAAGACATCATCGACGGGCCCTGCCTTGGCCTTCTTCTTTTTCTTCTTCGACTTCGGCTCCGGCTCGGGTTTTTTCCGCAATAACGAACGCTGCCGCTTGCGCCGCTCGTGCTCGGCTCGCTTCTCTGCCCGCAGCTCGCGCAACTGCTGGCGCGCTGCATTGCGTGCCGCGCGCGCTTGCTTGCGCTTCAGATCCAACTCGATGGTCGACGGCGATTTCTGGTAAAGTCCAATCTGAGTCGACGAGTCATTCGCCTCAATCATCTGCACCTTCAAGTTCTCAGCAATGCGCACTGAGGAGCCAGTTATCTTTGGGGCCTTGCTTGGAGGAGGAGCCGGCATCACCTGCTCCTCCTCCTCACCCTCCTCCTCGCTTTCCTCCGGCGTGTCCCTAGAGCGAATGCTTAGCACATAACCCAACTTGGCCCAGGCATAGACTTACCTCTCATCGCTGGATATCTCAGACATGCCGGACTCCTCAGACGTCACATCCAGCTCCGACTCGCTTTCCACGAAGTGCTGGAAGGCGTCGTCCGTAAGCGATTGCAGATGCTTGATATGCAGCGTTCGCACATAGGGGCGCACCAACTGGCCCAGGCTCGCCATCTTCTGCTCCGGCCAATAGGCGGCCGGGCAGGCCTCCACCAGTTCCACATACTTGAGGCTCACGCCATTGCCCTTCCAGTCGTATTCGTCGATCTTCTTCAGCGACAGCGACTTGTTGGAGCTCTTGGCGAGCACGACGCGACGCCAGAAGCGTAAGTCCTCTACGAAGTAACAGTCCTGAAGCGGCATATTAACATCCAATGCATCGTAGAAAATGCGCATCTTCAACGGATCCTGCCGCACTTGCGGCGGGATAAATCGACAGCCCAGTTTGGCCAGCGCTCGCACACACAGATCGGAAAGCGTGCCCAGGCGCTCGTTCTCGATGAAGGCCTCCGTGTAGAGCAGCCGATTGCGCTCGCTGTGCAGCCGCCGGGTGGCCATCGAGGGATTGTACAGCTCATATTCCACCAGCAGGTCCGGCTCCCTGGGTATTGCAAAAGTATTGGTGTTTGCCGGTGGCAAGAAATCCCCCTCGTCCTCATCATCCATTTTCGTGTCGATTTGTGCTCGGCGTTAATTTGTTTTTTTTCAGGGAAATGACTGATTCTGTTTGAGTGAACTGAAATGAATTTTTGAGGCTCATTTTAAAGACTAATCGATGTTTAACTCAAAGCTGAACCTGTTCAAAATGTATTGAGTCTCTTACTTTATGCAGATGCCTCTTCTGCTTAACATCATCAGCAAGCTCATTAAAAAAATGCAATTTTCTGAATGGAGAACCATAGAAAGGTACTTTCTTGCCAAGAATAAGGGAACCTCAATGTGGAACACGTCAAAAGCACCATTTAAGGCACTTCCATTAAACAAAATATTAAACACGACTCTCACTCCAATCCAAGCGTTCAACCCCGGTCCGTATGACCGAAAAGACAATATCTAAATGAATTACACAACCGCATATTACTCATTAGATAGATATCATAATAATAATAATAATAATATAATACATTTACGTCATTTAGCTTTTTTATCTTCCACACTAGTCCCAATACTAATTTCATATTCTACTCACATATAGATAAGCTATGTTGTCTTTCTATCTTTCATTAATGTCGATGAATTACCTTACTCACCACTCCACACAAATATCATACTTCATCCACCAACACTAATTACACCAGTGTTGTAAGTGGAATAAATCTACTATATTAAAAAATTAATATTGATATCTATAAATCTCCTTTAAATGAATAAAAAAAAAGCTATTACTTAGCATAAATATATATATATATAAAATATATATAAATATATCACAACAATGAAGATTCGGAACACAAACACTCATCCTATCCTATCTATTCCACGCCATGCACGCGTCGATCTCTTCATCTATAAAAGCTTGAGGCCTTAAATTTCAATAAAATCCTCGTGAATCTCGGCTGCACTAACTGTTTGTAAATGAATTCAATATATTAAGAAATTCAAAATTTTTTTGAAGGACAGCTCTTGCACATTTTCCATATCGACTCCATTGGTTGCAGTTTTCGAGGCAGTTGACAATCTCGTTGCCTCGGCTAGAGTAGTTCTGCTGCTCACTCTTTTAAGCTTACAGCTGCGTGAAGTGGGTTCCTGTTCTTCACATTATAAAAACTTACATTGTAAATGACTTTATTGCTTGGTCTGGCGGATAACATCTTTATTGGATTTTAAATGATTTGGCCCGATGGCGCTTGGCGCCTAAGCCCGAACCCAAACTCAAGGCTGACCTCGAGTTAGCCTTAAGCAACAACAACAACAGCAACAACAACAACAACAGAAACAACAATATTAACATCAACATTAACAACAACGACAACGACGCATTGTTTCCAACACTGGCTCGTGGTCAGGCCTCTTGCCTACTCTCTCTGTCGCTCTCTCTCGCGCTCGTTCTCTCTTTCTTTGTCTCGAATGCAGTTGATGATGATGACTTAATCGTTGATCTGAGTTTCGCATAGGTGGGCGTTATAGTGATTTATTATGCCGCTTGGACACGCACTATAAAAACAAACTGGTTTAACAAAATATATAAAAAAGACATCAGAGATCATAGCCGATCTGCGCTGCAACGAATCGCAAATGCTCTAAGAACTGACTAAGAAATTGATGACATAAATAATTAATCTGAAAATAATGTTAATCAACAGTAAATATTGGAATATACATATTTTGAGGCATATCTACAATCTGGTGACAAATTTTGAAATGTACGTGTAGTGTACTACTCATTATAATTATATGCTCATCAGTACAACAACAGTAATATTCAAGATCTGATGACAAGAGTGAGTAAAAAATTCATAATTCATTTCAAAGTTGGCTGCAAATTTAACATGGGAGTTAGTAGCAGTCAACAGCATAGTAAAAATTAGACTCCAGCTGTAGCGCCACACATAGATATATGTGAGCTATTAACTATGCTCATGAAGGCAGCTGCATAGATACTTCTAGTATTTAGAACGTGGTTGCAAATAAAATATGCAATTACCCAGCTCTTGGAGCGGTGTAAGCCACTCAATTAGGATAGGCCCATTTGAGTTTTATGTAGACCTGAAGTGCACTTAAAGTCAACCAATATAGCTGAATAGCTAGTTTAATAAGGCACTTCTTACATTTACAGCCTGGCTGCAGGTTTTAGCATGCAAGTGAGTCGCTCGTGGCAGTGTATAAACAAAATATTGCAGCATAAAATGATACGAGCGAGGCCTGCATAAAACAAAAACGAAACTAGTTAAATGTGCGACGTTTTAACTTGCTTCGCTTTGAGCTGCTTCACGTTGCCCATTTGCCCTACTGCTTTAATTTCTGGCTCGGTTTGTGGCCTCTGGATTGCCACTGGGTGGGCGGAAGGGCGACACTTTCTCACTCCGCACTCTCCTGCACTCGTTCGCCAGCTGCCTGAGTCCTCGCCTGGGCGCAGGTATAAGAGACGCCGGGCCTTAAAATGATATATCACAGATGGCGAGGACGCAGCTGTGCGCCAGTTTTCAAGCCGCTTAACGCTGCAATGCCATAATCATCATCATCATCTCTCTCCCTCTCTCTCTCCGTCACTCTTATAAAAGAAAGAGAGCGAGCAGAAGCGCCAACCATTTATTTATGCACTTGACTTGCCAGCCGCGCCCCCACGCTGCCCCCCAGGCCAATTGCAAAGAGGGCTCTGGGCTTGGGCCTGGGAGCGGGGCTGGATCACTTGCAGAGGGCAGCCCTTAATGAGCATATCATATTTCACACATGCCTCTGCCGCTCGCTGCTCACCGCTCGCTGCTTAAGCTGTCAACACCTCAGCTGCTGCAATTGTCGCCTTCGAGCATTCAAGTGTAGCCTCTAGCCTCTAGTGGCTGCTACACTTGTGCACCAACTATGCCTCGCTCCAAAACTTACTCAGTTGCATGCAGCTCAGTCATCAAATGGTAAATAAATAAGTGCTAAACTGTCTCAATCAAAACTTTCAAACTCTGGGCGGAAAAGTTTTCCATGAGCCACAATAACTTCCCTAAGTAGGTGGCAGCAAATTCTACGCCTTACCAGCTATACGTAAAGCGTCTTGGAAAACACATTAAACTGTATAAGTACTTCAATGCAGATGCGCACAGGAGCAGGCGAGTAAGTTGAACGAATGTTATAAGTTACTGTCAGCTGCTTACAAGACAGTTGCATATTTATCAACTGAATTAACATGCAGTTGAGAGTTAAATTATGTCTGGCGAGTAGCAAATCTTAAGTATATAAAACGAGCATCTACAAATCTAAGGCAGATTGTGATCTATAGCTTGCAATGAATAAAAAAAATATTGAAATATTTATCAGCTAATTTAACTTGAAGATGAGAGCTTAAATAAAATGTCGCGAGTACCAAAAAAAAGTATTCGAAATAATCACATAAATGCTTAACTCGTTCATTAGTACTTCAAGGCAGATAATTATGAGCTGATTTCGGATAAAGAGATGCCAATAAAATTAAATAATGTAATAAATATATATGTATATGAGTGAAGTTTCTTATTTATCAGCTGATGTAACATGAAGATATCAATTTAGATTATTTTTTCGAATACCAAATGGAAATTTAAATGTGAGAAACACATATGTATCTGATAGGTATTTAAGTATTTTAGGGCAGATTATAAAATATAGCTTAAAATTAATTCTGTAATATTTATAAGCCGAACCTGAATTAAGAAAGAACTTAAATAATATTGTTATGTATTTTAACATTAGTAAGTTAATAATTATAATCAGTATTAACATTTATTTTAAACTAAATATGTATTATAATGATAAATGAAAGACAGCTGATTCCTGTAATCAGTATTATTTTAAATAGTTTTCCTATATAATTCTACAGATATTATATATTATTTATATTATATATTATTATATATTATTTATATTATATATTATTTATAAATTGAAGCTTCTAGTCTGTACTTAAAATAAAAAAGTTACAACTAGCATTCTATAATTTCCAAAAATGATCACATCTTGAGTTTACAGCATGTCAATTAAATATAGCCTCGAAAAGCAGCTCAAGAGTTACGCAACAGTTGTGCCATGTGCGATTAGGCCGACTTGAAGCCAAGTTGGCCTTGAAACGAAGTCATAACCAACATAATTGGTGCAAATGAAGCTTTCCCAAGAACACAGAAATGCTCCAGCCAGCGAGTTGGCCAGACAATTGGTCTGTAATTGGGGCCAAATCATTAGGCAGTCAAGCAATTAGACTGGTTGTTAAATGAGCGAAAGAGTTATACACTCTCAAATGAAGCTGAAGATGCTATACATATACAGACATTATATACACCGTCTAGTGTTGGTTAATTGTCCATAGAGTGAGTAGTGCTAAGGTGCAAAACTGCGGCACTGAATCTGAGGCCTCAACTACAGACCTCAGCGAACCAACGCAAATTGTCGCAGTGAAAAGCGAAATTTGCACTGCGAGAAATTGTTAAGGGAACATTTCGATTTATATAATATGTATATTAAAAAAAAATTAATAAAACTAAAATTTAACTGCTTGAAAATAAATTTAAAAATTCGATATGCTGCTGAACATAATTTTTTTTATAAATAAAATCAAAGAATACATTTATCGATAAAAATTTTGTTGAAGCTTCTCAAAATCTGAAAATGCACTGTAAGAAGTGATGTCTTCAAATTCAACTTATAAATATAAATATATATTTATTTGTATATATATAAAAAAAAAATTCAATTTTAACAGTATATTAAAAACTAATTATATCATAGATTAAAATATATCTTAATATACAAAACAAAAACAAAAAAAAATCTAAATTCAAGACAATTTAAGTTAATTATAAAAAAAAAAAAAAAGATAAATAGTTCACAAACAAATAAATTTATATATATGAATTTGTTGTAGGAATAATAAAACGGAAAATGCATCTTACGCAATGAAGGCTTAATAAAAAAAAATAATATTCGATATGAATTTGTAAATAAAAACTTGAGTTTAGATTAAAAAATATTCAAACAAAAATAAAAGGCGATAAAAATTATAGCTAACCAAATAGAAACTTTAAAAATGTTTGCTAATTTTAATTTAGTTTTGGCATTATTACATTATTATTATTATTATATGCTTCCTTTTAAGTAGGCAAGTTAAACATTATTAGAGATATGACAGTACGAAATTCAAGAATATTCAAAGATATGCTATGTATAATTGAAAATGTTAATTAGGTTTATGCATAATTTAACGGTCATGTAAAGCAATAATGCTGCACACTGTAAGAAATTTTCACAATTACAAGTGTAAGTAATGCTGCTTGGCAATTACAATTTTTGTACAGTGTATTTTGTAATACCATGCGCAACATGTTGACAGCAGGCCCTAAATGCAAAAATGACTTGCCCACAACAACAACAACAACAACAACGACAACAATAACAGCAACAACAATAGTAACAACAGCAAGAGCAGAAACAGCGGCATCAAAGCGCTCGTAGCCTGAAAGACGCGCACATTAATTATGTTAATTGAACTGTAGCACACGCTTAGAGCGAGACAGACCAAGACAAGGAGTGGGAGAGAGAGAGAGAGAGTGAGGAGAGTGAACGAGATAGTAATAGTGGGCGCACATCCTATGGCAAAGCAACAGGCAACAGGCATAACTCATAATGCCATTTCCGTATGAACTCTCAAGTCAGCCCGGACATAACTCAGCTAGAACTTAAAGCTGGACTTCATTAAAACTTGTGGTGCATTTTGTCTTAGTAGCTGTGGCTGTTGTTGGTGTTGCTAAAGCCCAAAAGGAAACAGGACCAACTGACAGCCTGGCTGCAGAGAACACAGCAACCAGACAAACTGCAACCGCGCCTAATGACCACAAAAATAGCCAAATGCAGTTTAATTTATGACCCAACGCCAGCAACTTGTGCTGCGCTGAGCATTGCAATGCCCTTTTAGCGAGGGCAGCTCCGCGAGTTGTGATCACTTCCCATTGACTATGAATGAAATCTAAGAAGTTGAAGAACTCTTTTATTTTAATATTTCAGAAAGTTAACATAGCTTTCGCATCGATGCTGATTGCAATTTACCAAATTGCTATAAGTGAATATAATTCTGTAAAAAATATGAAAAACAAGTAAGAAGGCTCTAGTCGAGACTGCTCGACTAGGAGATACCCTGAACCCTCTAAGCTGATATTCTAATCATTCTGCATTTTTATGCACACATACACACACATGCATCCACACGCACGCATAAGCCTGCGCTCTGCTAACTGCGCAGTAAGCAGCGACTGCGCTTGGGCTGCGCTGCAGTGTGGGCAATATTATGAGAATTTATTTGTTGAATAATTTCTTTTGTAGACATACGATCTTAATGAAACTTTCAGACCGTAATCATATGGTAAATATGTGTGTACATTCCAAAGCACAAGTCTCTAGTACTTGAAATGCGTTTTTTACAAATTGGGGGGAAAGGGGGCGTGGTATCTAAAATCTGTAAATTACAAAATCTTTGTTTCCATTAACTTAATATACAACGCAAATTTGAAGACTCCAGGTCTAAAAATGTTCAAATTAGGCTGAAAAAACAATGCCGATTTTTCGATTATTCGCGATAAAAAAGTTATCGGATGAATTATCGAAAAAATAAAGCAAACTCGTACTGCGTATGGTACACACGAGTATGCATGCCAAATTTCAGCTCTCTAGCTCTTATAACTTCTGAGATCGACGCACTCATACGGACGGACAGACGGACAGGGCTATATCAACTCAGCTCGTCGCGCTGATCAAGAATATATATACTTTATGGGGTCTGCCACGCCTCCTTCTGCCCGTTACATACTTTTTCACAAAACCATTATACCCTGATTTCCCATTTTCGATGGGTTCAGGGTATAAAAATACAAATACAATTTCCCCGTTGCTAGCCAAAAACATTGATGGATATTGCCGTACGAGTGCGATTACGTGATTACATAAAAAAAAATTAAAAAACCATTTGAACTTGAAAACACAGAGAGCATCTTGCAATTGAAACAAAGTAAAACAAGTAAGAAGACTCTAGTCGAGACTGCTCGACTAGGAGATACCCTGAGCCCTCTAATCTGATATTCTAATCACTCTGCGCTTCTTTTCGGCACACACAAGTATTAGAATGCGCTCTGCTAACTGCGCAGTAAGCAGCGACTGCGCTTGTGCTGCGCTGCAGTGTGGGCAACATTATAAGGATTTATTTGTTGAATATTTAAATTTCTAGACGTACAATCTTAATGAAACTTTCAGAACATAATCATAATATTCAAATGTATGTACATTCCAAAGCACAAGTCTCTAGTACTTGAAATACGCCTTTTACAAAGGTGAGGGTGAGGGGGTGAATATAGGGGTGGGGGGTAAATTACAACAAAAATCGAAATTATATAAAATGCATATAAGTCTACATATAAAATTTGGAAGCTCTAGCTCTAAAGGTGTAGGAGGCATAATTAAATAACTAGCTTTCGATAAGGTTTTTGATCGATAATAAATTATCGGGAGTAGTTATCGATATAAAAAGAAAAACTTGATATGCGCGTGATATACACGGACCTAGGAAAAAAAATTTCAAGCCTCTAGCTCTTATATCTTCTGAAATCGACGCGTTCATACATACGGACGGACGGACGGACGGACGGACGGACGGACGGACGGACAGACAGACAGACGGACAGGGCCAAATCGACTTAGCTCGTCGCCCTGATCAAGAATATATATACTTTGTGGGGTCTGCCACGCCTCCTTCTGCCTGTTACATACTTTTAACAAAACCATTATACCCTGATTTCCCATTTTCAATGGGTTCAGGGTATAAAAAATTATACTGCACTATATCCTTTGACCTATTTCCATCTTTTGAATATTCATTATAATGTCTTATTACTAATTTATTAACGTATAACATTTAATATTTAAAAATTCTTACAAATTTAAGTTAAAATGATAAAAATTATTTCAGATAAATAAGTTAGAAGTTATTATTATCATGTGGTCTAATGTGCCTATTTTTGTTTATATTTTATTGAATTTAAATAATTGGGTAAATTTCATTAATTTAATTTTGAAGTGTTTCGTTTTAATTTGTACACTTACCATATCAGCCACCTGATATACATTTCTAAAATTATAGTTGACTCAAAAGGAAAAACCAGACTCCGGCCTCGAGCATGCTCTTGTAGTCTATAGCTTCAGCTTTGAAACGATTAGGTATTTTTAATTCGCTCTTTCTTTGCTAATATTGTATATCCTGATACTATGAAAGTGGAAAATCAGGGTAAGAATCCACTAAATAAATTAATAATCAGAGCGAATAAATGAGTTGATCGTTCTATAGATTTATCGATTCTTAAGCAAACCCGAAGAGATAAATCTTAAATGCGCATTTCCGTACCCCATATGCTAGATTTGTAATATATCTTCATTAAAAACTAAATTAAATTTCAAGACTTGTTCTTTTAACAAATACAAACAAATGGATGTCATTTTCATGTCATACAATATTAGCTATGAGCAAAGGTGATTCAACAGCCGATTTCCCATAGTATGGGTGTGTTTGTATAAGTTGGTATGTGTTGCTGGGTGAAACAACTCACAGTATAGCTCACAGTATTCCCTAGTCGGGCATTTCCGAGTGGAGCACTCCTTCCTGTTATATTTCTCATTATGCTAGAGTTAGTAATTTATTCACTCAATATTAATTTCGCATTTATTTATTTTGGTATGCAGTTTTCAATAGAAACTCCTTGCAAAAACTATTGCATTAAAAGGAAAATCTGTTTGCATGCGCCCCTCACTCCCCTCACTCATCACTGCGATTGCAGCTTATTTTGCCGTGTCGCTTTCCACAAGAGATTTCCGAGTGATTTATGAATGTTTCTGGCTGGTTTTCTTTGACTTTGCTGTCTTAACAGTTAATTTGTAAATTTCCTCGTAAATAGTGCAGCTCACTTTGCCTTAGACTCCTTTAGATTTTCAGCTAAATGATATATATCTACAAATTGCATTAGCAGCAATTTAATTGCGCAAACTGTTTGCGCAATAAATAAAAGCTGATTGCATAAACCAAGAAAATTCAGGGAGCTCAAGCACAAAGGCTTGAGTGTTGAGGATTAAATGAAATGAATACAATGTAAGTAAGTGAAGAACAAATTTAAGAGTCGCAAATCAAAGAATACAAATATTGTTTAACTGAGAGCAGCCTAAATACCATATATGTATATACAGATATGTGCATGTAGATTGGGGCAGTTCAAGGCCAACTGTAATCAAGCAATCAATCAAAATGCAGTCCAGCCAAGGTTTGCCTTTAACCCTTTATGCAATAGCCACCGACTCGCCACAATCCTGCCTCCTGCGCCGCGAACAATGCATAATTACTGATAATGATTTGTGCATTGTTAACGTTGCGGTCTATTGTTCTGGTCTGGCTTGGGCTGGCAGCACTACGAAGGGCCCCGCAAGGGAATGCGAATGAGCATGAGAATTGGGCCTGCCTGGCCAAGTCCTGCCCAATGGATCGCCTCGTCAGCGGAGCTTAGTTATGAGATGCGACTCAATGGGTTCTCCACGCAGGCCATACAAGATGTTGTCTTCTTTTTGTTGATTTCTTTTTCTTAGCTGCTTTCAGCAGGCGTCGACGATAAAATAATAAAAATTGATTTGAGCGATGGCGATAAAATTTTACAACAGAACGCGTCATGCGAAATTTATCATTATCCAACACGAGCGCATCTCCATTTATAGCTGCGAGCCCCCACACCAGCGGCTGTGCCTTTTGCACAGATTACAAATCATAGTTAACGACTTCTCCGGCTAGACGCACGACTCGGCCAGAGATTTCGTCAGGCTGAGGCCTAGAGATTGAAGTCACGGACCTGGACGGCGGGCTGCAACGATTTTCAATTAAACTCTTTCGAGTTGTTGTTTTTCACACCTTGCATGAAGCTCCTCGGCCCCATGTGAGGCTAGCTAATTGAGCTGTGAGGCTCCAATTAGTAATTGGGCGGGGCTGAGTCTAGGAAAATTGTCTTTTCAGTTTGTAATGCATTAAAAAGGTCGTTTCTGTCCGTTTAGTTCTGCACTTCATTCACATTCTGAAAAGCGTTGGCAAGTAACGCACAGAGAATGCTAGGAAACACTCTTCATGGTATGTAAAATCAAAAACATATTCGGCCGCACTCCACAGTTTTCAACTCATTCATAATCAGTTATTCATTTTTTTTTTTTTTTTTTTCAAAATCAACGAGAGATATGTATAGGATAAATCTATTTAACCGTGCAACAAACACAAATAGATTATTCTCACCATACTTCAGATATTTAATTATATTTTATTAAATATATTTTAAATCTTATTTATTAATTAATTATTGACTCCAACATATTTATATCCAAATTTATTTATTGATTTATTTCCAATTCATTTGCCTTTTTGTTCACGTCAATTACACACAAAATGGCGTCAATTAAATAATTAGCCCAATTTTGAGCGGTATTCATGTTGGTAATTTTTAAACCATTTATTTAACTACTACAAACGCATTTGCTTACCTTTTCCCACACGAAATTCAGCCTTAGCAGTTAACTGTTATTTTTGCGCCCTCTTTGTGCAATGCGTTTGTCAGTTGGCGATTGCATTGTAGATGTATGTATGTACATATTTCAAGGAACAAAGAACAAATTTAAAAGCACACATCATATATTTATGTATCTATACACATATTCGTACATATGTATATAGGTATGAGTGCATCCAACGGTTAGGGGACATAGATAGTTTAAGCATTATAATAATTGAAGCTGCTATTACAGCAGACTTACAAATTTTAAATATTTATATCTACATATTCTACATTTATAACTTAATTTATTTTAACGACAATTGTAAATTCAATGAAATTTGAACTGAATTGAAGTTGACAGCCCCTGCATGCCGATGCCAGTTGGGTTTCGAACCAACAAAGCAGTCCAAGCAGTGCACACTGATACTTAGCGAGAGCTGACTGCTACGAAAGTTACTCTGCTGCGCGCATAAATTTGAAATAACACAAATATGAATTGTATTACAATTAAATTAAACAAAGATATACCACTTGTTGTTTTTAATACAGTGCGTTGTTGCTTTTATTTGTTTTTATATTTTAAATATAGTTTTAATATATGCAGCTATAATAGTTATTTAAAATTTGAATACTACGATGTTTAATTTTAAGTTGTTTTCTTTGATTTTAAACTAAAAAACCGTTAGACTACGCTTTTGCTTTTGCTGTGCTTGCTCCGGTTTTTGATCTCCTTCCGTTTACTTTCCATCTACTGCCCCTCCACACTCCTTCATCACACCTCTTCTCCTCTGCCATTCCATTGTTTGTCTACGCTAATGTGCTAGATACGTATATATTTATATATATATATATATTTATAGTTATTTATAGGGTATTTTGTCGTCTGGACAAGTTAGTCATTAATTTACAATACAATCAATTATTAACTTAAACAATTTCCCACTTTGCTGCTTCTTGGAAAATTGTTGCGTTGGTTAAATTTAAAGAAATCTATATAATACAATAAAAAGTCTTGGCATTAATGAATAATTGGTTTGTTAACAAAATAATTAAATTATTTTGCGCTGGTTTACAGTTTTGTCTCACACATATACATAAATAAATTAAAGTACTTTTCATTTCCATTTCGACTTCTTATTATTGTTTTGTTTTGTTTTTTTTTTTTTTTTTTTTTTTTGTACTCCAAACTGCACGAGAAACGCAAGCAAAACGCTAGCGACTTGGCCGCGTTTCTGAACGCAACAAATAAAAGTACTTTTCCTTTGTACTCTAAACTGCACGAGAAACGCACGCGAAACGCTAGCGATTTGTGCGCGTTTACAAACGCCATAAGCCTTTCATAAGAAGCCCATGTCGAGGGCCGTGTAGAGAGCACGAATATCGCTGTGGGCGGAGATGCGCCAGAAGGGAAAGTTCATGGCCTTGGCAGCGGACTCCTCCTCGGCGCCATCCCCGATGACCACGTAGGTGCTCTTCCTGCCGAAGCGCGTCACGATGCGCTCGTAGCAGGTTTCCTGGCCTAGAAAAGTGAGATGGAGCGTGAGTCGAGGAGCTCTCTGGCATTACTTGGCGTACTTACCGATCTTGTGTGCACTGTAGATGTTCTCGATGTTGAATATGCTGCCCAGGTTGAAGAGCAGCACCTTGGCCAGCGCCGGCGCCAGCTGCGTGGAGGTGACGAGGACATTGATGCAGTTCTCCCGCTGGGCGATCATGCTGAGACACTTCAGGGCGAGCGTGGCCCAGTTGTCGGTGGCCACCTCGATCTCCGAGCGGATCTGCAGCCAGGCCTCCCGCTTGCCCGGGCCCAGAAGAGTGCCCACACTGAAAGAGGAAGAGGAGAATGGAATCAGCAAGAGTCTCTCGGAGGAGTTCCCCGACCGCTGTTACTCACTTGCCCCTGTAGGTGTTGTAGATGTCCTTGATCTTGCGGTAGCGGAAGGCCAGCTTGCGCATCCAGTCGACGCCGCCGCGCACGCCCGTGGGCAGGCAGAGATTGGGCGGGGCGCCGGGCGGTGTGCCGGTGTGAAAGCCATCGGTGGCGAAGTTGTAGCTGCTCAAGTCCTGCCCGTTGTCGTCGGAGCTGACGTCGTCGATGTGCACCTGGTCGCACTCCTCGATCTCGTTGAAGAAGAAGTGCGTGTCCGCCATGTTGAACACCATCTCCTCCATGCGGAACGCAATGGTCATCAGCGTGCTGTGGTCTTTGGTGTAGCGGTTCGCGTAGCTGCCCGAGAGCAGCGTGTGGAAGATGATCAGCGTCTCGTCCAGATCCCAGATGAAGACGCGCTCCGGCGGCTTCGCTGCCTCGCTGTTGCCCGTGTCAGAGGCGGTGCTCCGCGTCGGACTCGGCTGCTGGTGGCGCCGCCCGCGCGCTCGGCCCGTCTTGCCCGTGGGCGTGGACTTGGGCGCGGATGCGGAGCCGACGCTGCTGCCACCGCTGGAGTTGAGCGTGGCGGCCACAGCAGCGGACGGTCCTCCAGCCACGCCCACGCCCACACCGACGCCCACGCCCGCATTGGGCGACATTGAGATGGGCAGCGGGGAGTGCGGCGACTGGTTGGCCACGTGCACGGGCGTCGTCGAGTGCGTGTCGGTGGGACTCTCCGACAGATTGGACGAGGCGGTGGCCACGTGGAAGCCGTGGCTGGCGCTCGAGCTGGGCGAGCTGACCGCATACGGCGAGTAGTTGGCCGGATTGTAGTAGTTGCCGTACTGCTCGTTGTAGTATCCGCCGTAGTCCTGCTGCCCGAAGTTGTTGTAGCCCGCGTACGGATTGCTGTAGAGCTGCGCATTGTTGTTGGCCTGCCCTCCGTTGCCGGCGCTCGCATAGCTGGGCGTCAGGTAGGCCGCCGCTGCCGCCGCAGCCGCCGCGCTCGGCTCCATCTTGGCGCTGCGCGCAGCCGCCGCCGCCGTGCTGGCCGCCGCATACGGCGTGCCGTAGCCGGAGTAGAACGGCGGCGGCGTGTACTGCTGCATGCTGTTGTAGTAGTAGTAGTCGTGCTTGCTGTCGTAGACGGCGGCTGCGGCCGCTGCTGCCGCCGAGCTGTTCACGGCGGCCGCCGCTGCTGCGGCGCTGCTCTCGGCGCAGCCGTACAGATTGGCAGCGGCAGCGGCGGCGGCGGCGGCAGCAGCAGCCGCCGACTGGCCGTTGTCCAGCGAGTGGAGCTGGTTGGGGCTGCGCGACTCGGACTTGACGGGCGTCGACTCGTGCGTCCAGTGGGACATGCCCACCACGCCCACCTCCTCGCCCGTGGGCTGCTGATATGTGGAGAAGCTGCTGCTGGCCGACTGGGCGAAGCTGGAGGCGAGGCTGCAGCTGCTCGGATTTGGGTTTGCATTCGGATTCGAATTCGAGTTTGAAGTTGAATTTGGATTATTGTTGCTGTTGCTATTGTTGTTGTTGTTGTTGTTGTTGCTGTTGTTGTTATTGTTGTTGCCGCTGCTGCTGGCATAGTGGCCGATTGTCGGCTGCAGCGGCTGGATTTGAGGCGGCAGAATGCCTAGGGGACTGCACTGACCCGCCACGCCCACGCCCACGCTAATGCCAACGCCCACGCTGGCGCCGGCACTGCTGGGCCCATTGCTGGTGGCCAACACGGCGTTTGAGTGGGCTTGTTGTTGTTGCTGTTGCTGCTGCTGTTGTTGTTGCTGCTGATGTTGTTGTTGATGCTGATGTTGCTGCTGCTGTTGTTGTTGCTGCTGATGTTGTTGTTGGCTTTGGCAGAGACTGAAAGTAATACAAATAATACGAGAGTTAGTTAGTTCTCGAAGCAAACCATAAAAGATTGATGACAATGATTGATGTATTGATTGAAGATTGTAAGCACTAGCTGACATTTAATTTTTTATAGTTTAAATACACCAAGATTGATTGACTGATCGACTGACCGACATAGGTCAAACTGTTATTGGTTTATATATTTATTACTAGATAAAGTATTTTATAGTTTTTCTAGATAATATTTTATATTTTAGACATAAAAATTTATATTATTCGTGAAAAACTATTTTGATATTCGGTTGATTGACTGACTGAAGACTGATGCATAATTCTAACTGTAAGAAATGGAGAGGTTGTTTTTCCGTATGCCTTGTAAAGCTATAAAACTCGTCTAATGCAAGGTAAC